GTTTCCTTCGGTGTCCAAAGGGGGTGCACCAACCCTGCACTACACCTTCCCCTTGATTTTCCAGCTCGTGGATGGGTTTCCCCCGGTGTCCAAAGGGGGTGCACCAGCCCCGCTTTACAGAGGGTACAAGGTACTGGGTGCTAAAAAGGGAACCCAGGCGTCAAAGGGCACTACACCCCTTCCCCTTGATTTCCCAGCTCCTCATGGATGGGTTTTCCCCAACCCGATTCCTGGTGTCCAAAGCAAGTACACCAGCCCCGCTCCACAGATGGTACAAGGTACCAGGTACGAAAAAAGGAACGCTGGGGTCAAACGGCACCACACCTCCCCCTCGATCTCCAGGGCTGCAAGGCAGTGGGTATTTAGAAATGTGTTCCTCGCATCCAAGGGGCGTGCATCTACCCCCTTATTAATTTACATGCATACTGGTGCCATTTTCCCCCAGGAGCACTTGTTACTCAGACCAGGAAGTCGTCAAAAGCTGAAGAAAATGATCTGGGGATGAAATTTCAAGTGCAGCACATAAAGGGCCCCTGCAAACACATAAAGGGGCCCTGCAAACACATAAAGGGCCCCTGCAAAAAGGGTGTCAATCCCTGCACTGAACACTGAATTCTCACCTCAGTCAAAAGATTCTCAGCCTCATCTCCTGGCAGCATTCGTAGCCCAGCAGTGGCCTGCACAATAATTCCAAAAATTAGCAGTATCCTTTGGATGGCACAGATTGCAAGTCATTCACTGGTGACATTCATTAACTGCACAATAATTCCAAAAATTAGCAGTATCCTTCGGATGGCACAGATTGCAATCTGTGCAAGAGATGGCACAGATTGCAAGTCACTCACTGGTGACATTCATTAACAGCTTTATTACATATTATTACATATTTGTGACATTGCGCATATTTGTTAGCGTTTCTTATCACAAATATCAGAAATATCCACTGGAATTTGCTAATGTTTGTTTACGTTGGTTTACATTTGTTAGTTAATGCTGCTTAATGTTTGTCACTTTCCACAAATATATCGACTAAGATTCGAAATTTTGTGTTCGTATTCAAAAAAAAAAAAAAAAAAAGGTCATTCGGGACATCCGTTAAAATTGGAACAACACAGAGAAGATTAGTATGGCCCCTGCGCAAGGATGACACGCATAAATCAAGAAATGGTCCAATTTTGACAAAAATAAACATAAAAATGGCCTGTGCATTTAAAAAAAAAAAAGAACGGCCTGTGCACAAGGATGATAAGTAATCAAGAATTGTTAAAAAAAAAAAAAAAAAGATACATTTATATGCGAGTCCTCAGGATCAGGTTTTGGGGACTCTTCTTTCTGTGTAACTCCGAGCAAAGAAATCCGTTCAGATTTTCCCCTCCTCAGGACAAGTAAACTATCCACACAGGCCACACCACCATCAACCCTACCCTCCCATCAAATAGATAACACCATTCCGGCGAACTCAAGAAAGTGCAACCACAGAGCACTGCCCACCCCAAACAATGGATGGCACATTTTTGCAAAAAGACAAAACCTATAAACAAGAATAAGAAAAAAGAAAAACCAGACCATTCCAGCGTAAAGAACGCTCTCTGCTCCAGTTAGAATAAGACCAAGTTCGATAGGAACGGGCCCAACTCAGATGGGACACCCAATGCACTGTTGAAACACAGACCCACGTTCATTGTGGAACTGACCGGCCCCTGGAGCATGGTCCCACTAGCAACGGGGATTAGGTCCTGATCTGGGCGTGTTTTAGGCAGAGATGCAGAAAAGGAGTTCAATCTCGATTTTCTGCACGTTTGTGGCTTTCCCTTTTCTTAAACAAAAGGGCAACGGGCTTGAGATATCGTTGTGGAACTGACCGGCCCCTGGAGCATGGTCCCACTAGCAACGGGGATTGGATTAAGGTCCTGATCTGGGCGTGTTTTAGGCAGAGATTCAGAAGGGGAGTTCAATCTCGATTTTCTGCACGTGTCCACAAACGTGGCCAAATTAAGGCGTTCAATCCAATTCCTCTTTGCTACTGTCTTCACCCAAATACAATGTACGGTCATTATTCCTGCATCTAGACTATAAGTTGCGTCAAATACAGCTATAATGACCGTACGTTGTTTTCGGGTGAAGACAGTAGTGGGACCTCGCCCCTGGTAATTCAGAAAATTATTCAACGGCTTCCATCAGGATCACGACATCTCAAGGCCATTGGCCTTTTGTTTAAAAACAAAGGGAAAGAGAACTTAGAGAAGAGAACACCAACCATGGGTGACCACACATATACGTCATGTTCTAAACTCCTCCCTCCTCCGTTTCCCCCAATCCCTTCCTCCTGATCCTTCCTCACCCTCTTCTTCTTGTCCTTTCGTCTGCATCCTCATCATCGTCATTGTTGTCCTTGGTCTCAGCATTATGTCACCTCTACGAAAATAAAATAGGGCGTGATTCATGCAGCGAATTGTGCACTTCTTCCAGCTCACCAGGCATCCCGACTTCATAGTCTACTTCTTAGTCCACCCTCCTCCCCTACCTCTTCTTCTTCTTCTTCTTGCATGCTCTCTACCTCCTTACCAACCCTCTTCTCCCAGCTCCTCCGCCATCTCGACTTCATAGCCTACCTCTTCTTCCACCCTCCTCCCCCTACCTCTACTTCCACCCTCCTCCCCTCCTCTTTTTCCACCCGCCTCTCCCTACCTCTTCTTCCACCCTCCTCCCCCTACCTCTTCTACTTCCTCTTGCATGTTCATTACAACCCTCCTCCTGCCCAACCTTCACCACCTTCTTTGTCTTCTCCCTTTGTATGGAAGCCTGATCATCCTGCTCATCCTTCTCAGCCCTCCTCCCTCCCTCCTCCCGTCTCAACCTCGCTTGTCCTTTTTCCTTCTTTATCGTAATCCGGTAGTCAACGCGGCTGGGCAAGCCTGGTGTGTATGCCTGTGCCCCCCTCTTCTTCGTTGCCATCATGACCGTTTCACACCCAGATCACCACATACATGCATTTCTGCATGCACGTGTGCATGTATATGAATTTATTGTATTCATCTGAATCTCATCCTTTTTTTTCGCACGCAGCATGCATGTAAATGTTTGCTACCTACCAACTGCGACCTATACCGTCCCCTCTCCTCCCTCTTTCACATTCTCCTCATCCTCACCCAAACACACGTGGCTCCAATCCAACATCTACCGGCCTTTCTTCTCCCTCCCGCCTCCCGCCTCCTCCCCTGCCCCATCTACATTCTCATCATCGCCATGACTACTCCCGCCTAGGGGGAAGGGAATTTAATATTAACATTAAATTCCCTTCCCCCTAGGCGGGAGTAGTCTAGCGGCCTTTCTCCTCCCTCCACCTCCCGCCTCCCGCCTAAGGGGAAGGGAATTTCATTTTGAATCTTTGGACTTCAAATTTCCGAAATCGAATATTGGTTTTCCAGATCACGTTTGAAACAAATGAATCGTGTTTTCCAGTTGACGTTTCAAACAAATGAATCGTGGTTTTCCAGTTCGTGTTTCAAACAAATGAATCGAGTTTTCAGCCCTGTTTTTCTTTTTTATCTTTTTTTTAATCTTTTTTTATCTTTTTTTTTTCAGCCCTGTTTCAACCACCATGATGTTATCTTCTATTTGTTCCACTGAACATTGTAAAACACTCCCACGTAAATGAGTCAAACAACACGAATTGTTTTTTTTTTTTTTTTTTTACTCATTACTTCGCACCTCTCTTTTTCATCGATCAAATCTAAGGCTACGTAACACAAAGGTGCAAAAAAAAAAAAAATTATTCAATTTTTTTAATTTTTATTTCTTTTCTAGAAAGCTACATTCTTCTCTCAATTTCACCTCACACTACCTACCTACCACTACACGGTTCCCCGTATGCCTGCAATTCGGAGTAGTGCTAGGTAGGTAGCGTGACCTCTTTTTTTTTTTTTTTTTTTTTTAACTTTCCTGACACCTCTAGCTTCAAGTCCTGAAACGCTAAAGGATCGATAGGCCATGCTCTCACAATTTGTATTTTTTTTTTTTTTAAAGGGTTGTAGAGGTGTCGGGGGTTATGACCCAGGGAGGATGTCCGACAGAGGGCTATTCGTACTGGAAATCAAAATCAAATGACCTTTTGCCCTTTTGGCATCATTGTTATCATCTCAGCCAGATACATTCACAATGCGCATATGCCTTGTGATAGGTGGAATACTAGTAGGACTAGGATATGGCGAAGAAAAAGAAGAAGAAGAAGAAGAAAAAGAAGAAGAAGAAGAAGAAAAAGAAGAAGAAGAAGAAGAAGAAGAAGAAGAAGAAGAGGAGGAGGTGAGGAAGGAAGCCTATCAGAGAGAAGTCGATATTGACACTCGGGAAAAAAGAATAAAAGAACATCATTTTTTATTATTTCTTTTTTTAAAGAACATCAATTAGGTTACCCCTTTCTTGTTTAAAACATAATAATTAATCAATCACAAGATCAGGGAGGAGAGGAGGGGGGAAGAAAGAAAAAGGAGGGGTTGGTGAGAGATTTTCCAAACAGGGAATTACAGAACACACAACGTAACAAACTGTACAAGGTCCTTCACTATCTTTTCTGTTTTTTTCCCTTTCCTCCCCCCCCCACACCAAAAAAAAATTATTTTACAAACATTTCCCAGAACTTACCCCAATGAAGAGCGGAGTGGACGGTTGCAACTCCTCGGGAACTGCGGCTTTCGCTACGTCGAATAGAGGACGCAGTGACTCGGCTCCTGCCTGTGGGTTATCGTGGAATGAACTCAATCCCGGTTTTCTCTGCAGAGACCGAAGAAAAGCACCAAGAACGATTAAAATAGAACACCGCTAAGCAGGGACAGAAAGGAAAGAGGGGGT